GGCGCCGAGCCCCTAGCACATATCTTGCTAAATGTTTCTGAAATGAATGGAAATAGGAAACATAAAAGCAGAAAGAAGAGGCCAGGCCTAGTGGTGGCTCACAGTTGTAATCCTAGCACTTGAGAAGTGGAGGCAAGAGGACCACTTGAGCCCAGAAATTCAAAGCTACAGTGAACTATGATCACTGCTACTGCACTCTATCCCTAGGCAATATAACAAGATCAGTAAAAAACAAAAAAACACAAAAGGTAAAAAAAGCAGAGAGAAGAATAAGAACAGCTACCCCAATAGGTGTGGACGAAGTGGAGGAAACACACCAAGTAAGTGGGAGAAAGTGTATGGCACCTACAGCAAGGAGAGACTCTCTGTTTTCTCCCTTCTTCCATCCTGTGTGCAGGAAATTGAGAAAGAGGTGAGGTGAGGTCATTATTACCAGAAAGGAAATAACTTACTATGGCTGCGAGATTTTTATCAGAAGCCATGCAGCAGGTGCTTTGAGAGTTAGACAATCATAAGTGAATATTGCTCCTAGACAGGCAAAAGAAATGAACTATTTCAGGTTAGAAAAATGCTTACCCCTGCTTCAGAACATTTCCACCGTGGGCTTGAACGATGGCTGACGCATGTAATCCTCGCACTCTGAGAAGCCAAGGAAGGTGGATGACCTGAGCTCAGGAGTTTGAGACCAGTCTGAGCAAGAGTGAGACCCTCTCTCTACTAAAAATACAAAAAATTAGCCGGGCATTGTGGTGGGCTCCTGTAGCCCAGCTACTCTAGAGGCTGAGTAGGATGACTGCTTGAGCCTAAGAGCGTGACGTTGCTATGAGCTATGACAGCAGGCACTCTATCCAAGGGTGACAGAGTCTCTGTCTCAAAAACAAAGCAAAACGTTTCCACTGTTATCAAAAAGACTGAATAAGTCTCAGAGAGGAGAGCAACTCTGGATGGTGATGGTAAGTTAGTGACAGTGAAAGGAAGGATGAGCTTTTTGTGAATTCTAGGACAGAAAGAGGGAAGAAGGAAAAGGTAGGAGAACAGAAGCTCCTTAGTAGGCTTTCCCTTTTTGGTAGTGGCAATGGGAGTCCTGAATAGATCTAATTGAGGACATGTTCAAAACATGTTCAGAACTTACTTTTCTTTTCTTTTTTTTTTTTTT